ACCCCCACCTCCTGGACACACACAACATGGCCCAGACAGCTGCTCACACCAGGGCACCAGGCTGGGATGGCGCATCAGCCAGCACCCACCCCTGTGTACCAACCAGCATTTTTCGTGGCTCTGGGGCCGGCGTTGGGCTCTGGGGAGGGGGTGGGGGGCGGGCAGCGCCTCAGAGCCAGCACCACAGAGCCATCGATGGGCTGTCATACTAGCTTTCACGGTGTTCCTGCCCTCAGACAGTGTCACACTGGTCTTGTGACAGCCCGGTGAAGTACACACTATCCGGCACATTTTATAGGTAAGGAACAGGAGGTATTACTTGTCCAGGATCACAGAGCCAGAAAGAGTCCATTTGGGTCTCTTGGCTCTGGAAAAAGTATCACACTGTGTCTCTTCCGTCAGCGCCCACGTTACCTGTCTGTGTGGTGAAGCCAGTCGTCCTGTGGAACTGCCTGGCGAGGCCCGTCCAGGCTTCTTGTCTGGTTACATCCCGAAGTGCTTCACGCTGTCTGGTGTGTGTCACGGGTTTTGTGTGTCCCATTGAAAGCAGCTGCTGTACTTCTGGCTCTTCGGGGGTGCTTTTCGTGTCTTTGAATGGTGGAGGAAGTGTTAGTCCTTGTGGAACAGTTGAGAAAGGCTGATGAATGAAAAAGCTCTGCCTGCCTTCAGGAATTAGGCATCTATTCTGGGGCCTCATCCGAACAATGAACTTAAACTGGATGGTCTCAGGGTCCCTTCTAGTCTGGTTTTCTGAGACTGTGTTCTTGATTTGAAGTTTCAAAGCCACCGTATTAATTGGTCACCATTTCCCCGGACCCACCCCCTAGGGGCCTTGCAGCAATGGCGTCTGTCCCTGACTGCAGACCCGGGACTGGCTTTGGTGCCCCTCTGGGAGGTCTGAGTCCCATTGTGTTTCTAACTGCTGTGTTTGATTTCTAGATTCCTCAGCTAACTACAAGCAAGAGAAGAGAGGCTGCCCAGTTCTCCATCGTTATGGGGGGTGGCGAGGGAGCTTTCTGGAAGGAACTCCTCAGAGCAGACTGTGTGGCAGTGACCTGCTTGGAAGAGGGGCTGGGATTCTGCAGCCCGAGGCCACTGCCTCATCTCTGACACTGCTGCTGAGGTGTTTTCACAGGTGCTGTTTTCTGTTTCACGTTTTCATACAGAGGAGGGGAAAGGGTAGCTACTGACAAGTAGAAAAATGCTGTTTTTTAAAGGCAGTTTCTTGTTTTCTCAAATAGAATAAGTCCTTGGTTTTTCTCCAGTCCCAACCCCCTTCCCGCTGCTCATGTCTCTGGGTAAATACAAATAGAGATGGCTTTGTGTATTTTTGTAGGGCTCTCAGTTTTGAGGAGAGAGAATTATGTTACAGATGTTTTTGTTGTAAGCAAATAAAAGACTTCCTTGTCCTTGCAAAATCCAGTGTAAATTGTGTGAATTCAATTAAACTTATAAAGTCAGTAGGTAGGGTAGAGGGACAGCCATTCGTTGAGACCAGTTGGATCAGTGAGTGGAGTTGGGTTTGTTTTGCTGGAGCCAGAGCAGTTCTTTTTGATTGACCTAAGGGTGAAACGCTTGTGCATTTGGGTTTGGGGTTCCCTTGAAATCTGCTCCCTTCTCTGGGAAGCTGTTTCAAGACAGTTAATTGGAAACCTGGGAGCCAGCCAGTCCTCCTGCACTTTTGTGCACCTCGGGTCTTGCAAAACGTGTGTGTTTGAGGTGTTATAAAGCCAGCCTCCCCGTGGTGTCTTGGACAGTGTGGTGCTGGGTGATGACAGCTGCCACCTGAGGGGCAGCCCGGGGCCCTCACAGCATCGCTGCAGCTCGTTCTTGCCACAATCCTGGGAGGTGAGCAGTGGCCCTGCACTTACCAGGGAAGGAACAAGCTGGCCTAGAGAGAGTAAGACACTGCCCCAGGGCCTCCAGGCTCTCCCCGTTAGAGCTGGGATGTAAATCGCTGCCTCTCCTGCCTCACAGCCGGCAGCGCTTGGCTTGGAAAGGCCTCTGGCTCCCAGAGGGCTTGGTCGTCCCCACCCAGCCGCGGTGCTCAACCCTCTGCGAGCCTTGCTGTCCCCTCCTGGACCCTCACCGACAACTTCCCATCTCACTTAAGAGCCGTGGCTGCGGCCTAGGGTGGAAGGTCTCGGCCCGGGTCACCCAGTTAGGGCCGAGCTGGAGCGCTTCTAGCGTGGGGGGGGGGGCCTTTCTGCGAGGTGGTCAGGGACCTCTCCCCACTCGCCCCCCAGGCCGGTTGCTGTCTTCTAAAGAGGGTTTGGGCTCTTTTCCCTCAAGACAAGGCCTGAGGCCCTGGCTGACTTTTGCTGAGCAAACCGGGCAATAGGTGGCGACAAAACCTGCTCTATGCTTCCAGGCCAGCCCGCCTGGGCGGCAGCAGCAAGTGCCCTGGGCTGGGGGCTGGAAGGGCCCTGGCTGGGGTGGAGACCTTTTGGGACGGCTCTAGGCCTCTCTCTCGACCCAGCTGCTTCACATGGTCGCTCCATAAGACTGGTCTGGCTGGGCATTGGGGCCCAACTCCTGGGCCCCTGTCCTCCAAGAGGAAAAGGCAGCAAGTGTGGTCAGTCCTCAGCACAGCTGGCGAGGCAGAGAGGCTCTGCAGGCAGGTGACTTGTGACAAAGAAGGAGCCTGAAGGGCCGCTGCAGGCAGGCAGAGAGCATGGCAGGAGCAGAGGCCCAGAGGTGACCCACCTGTGCATCTGCACATTTGCGAAAATGAGTCTTTGCGTGGATGTCACTCAGGCAGACAGACGGGATGGATCACGGAGAGCTGTGTTTGTGTCGGGCTGAGAAATCACACCCTCCTTTGGGCCCTGGGGAGCCCTGCAGACTCCTCCCCAGGTGAACAGCAACCCTGGAGACTTCTATTCTCTCTCTCTCTCTGGCTCAGGAGCCAGGCTGGCTGCAGGGAAGGGCTGGGCTCTTTACTTGGCTCCTTCTCTCCTGACCTCATTAAGAAGCTTACCTTGACCTCTCTAATCGCTTTGGTCAACCCGGTCATGATAATGACATCATAACAGTGAGGAGTCAGACTTAATCCAAAGCATCAGTTAAGCAAAAAAGCCTGTGTGTTTGCATTTGCACACAGGGCACTCATGTTTTTGGCCTAGGAGGCAAACATTCTAGAAAGAGACGGAAATGCCAGAAGATAGATAAGAAGGTGATATGATATAAATATTGAAATAAACCAAAAAATATGTTATCTTTCTTACAAATGTGATTTTCTTTTTTTTTTTTTTTGTGGTGCACTGGCCTCTCACTGTTGCGGCCTCTCCCGTTGCGGAGCACAGGTTCCGACGCGCAGGCTCAGCGGCCATGGCTCACGGCCCAGCCACTCCGCGGCACTTCCCGGACCGGGGCACGAACCCGCATCCCCTGCATCAGCAGGCGGACTCTCAACCACTGCGCCATCAGGGAAGCCCCAAATGTGATTTTCTTAATTCACAGCCCTTCACACTAAAAGCGCAGCTGCAGGTGGGGCAGCACTTGAGTCCGATCTCTGCATCCCTGTCCTGCCCCCTTTACCAGCTCCCTCCTGCTGAGCTCGTCCTCCCTGACCACTCAGACAGAAGGAGAAACACCCTTCTAGGGAGAAGCAACGTCAGACCCAGAAAATTCACCATCCACGTCGGGAACTGACTTGGGGGGGGCGGGGCGGGGGCACTGTGGCTGCTCTTTGAGAAACGTCAGGAAATAAGAACAGCCCCAGGAGACAGACTCCAGACAAACGGCCACTTTGGAAAAGATGGACTCCAGGAAGAGCCCCACACTTTCTCCTGCCTAGTGACGCGGTGTTTGTGCAGCAACTGTGACAGGTGCTCACTGGATGCCAGTGGCACCTGAATCCAAATTCCTGATGCAAAATCTAAGCTGGTTTCTGAGAACCTCGAGGTAAACTGCGAGATGGATAAGTAAGCGGAGATATGCCAGCGTCATCATCTGTTCATCAGGAACAGGCTGGCCAAACTCATGCTGCTGTGGCTTGTGTTGGAGGGACTCCTGCGTGACTCATGAGACCTCCGCACATACAGAGTATATCTCCACACACTCACACAAGGCAGTGAAAGTCATTTCCCTCACACTGCTGCCCCGCCCCCCCGCCCCAGCCCTGAGCCAGACCCTCAGGGGCCCTGCTGCCCTCCCTCCTCCCGCTCAGCCTCATCCCAAAGCTGAGGGTTTTGCCTCCGTAGTGTCCCTTGTATCAGCCCCTAACTCTCCATCTCTCTGCCCTTCCTGGCTCAGATGTAACGACCTCTCTCCTTGATCACTGGACACCTTTCCCCCTAGCCTCCCCAGTCCTAGACTCCATCCCTCCTCCACCTGCTAGCCCCATCCTGCTCGGCTTAAATGCTTCAGTTGCTCCCAGTAGCCTTTGAGATAAAGTTCAAACTCTCTAATTTAGCATAGGAGGCCTGGCCTATCTCCAGCCATTCCCTGCCAGGCTCCCTGCCTTCCAGCCACGCTGAGCCACCTGCGGTTCCTAAATGTTCACACCATTCCACCCCTTGTACCTCCCCATGTGTTGCTCTCAGACCAGACCACATTTCCATTCCTCTTCCAAAGCTTAACTTAAGACAGGATCCTGAGTGGAAGCCTCCAGGGCTCACAAATAGGCAGGACACGTGTCCCCAGCAAACTGTCAGTCATCCCAACAATCATGGGAAAGGGGCCATTCAGCACAAGAGTGAACTTCTCTGCCCCCAGTCTGGCAAATAAAATCATAAACCTTCCTCTTTTCTTGGTATTAAAACATTTCTCATATTTTAAAAAATTATTTTAATTTCTTTATACAAAAATCACACGTATAAGATAGTTATAAATACATGCATAAACCTGGAAAGAAAAAAAAACTTAAACGTCCCCTCCTCCAGGCAGCCTTCCCTGACCACCCTGACATAGCTGCCTCCAAGATGCCCAGGGCCTTGGTTCCCAACACCCCACAGTAACTGGATGGTCTGGCCTGACTTCCCCAAGGCTGTGAGCTCCTCCAGGACAGGGACAGGATGTCACCTGACTGTGGTCCTCCATTTGCCTGCATAGTCAGAGAGACAGGAGCCCCAGTTTGTTGAAGGAATAAATAGAGCTCACTTATAAGCTATGTTCACATACCTCATGAAATCCTTATGGACAAGTCAAAGACAATGCAGAATAGGTGGCTTGAAATGAGGTCTGCCTTGGCTGGCTGTGTTGAGGAAATCTGGTTCAAGAACCCTTGATGGAAAATAAAGATGAACCCGGGTCAGACAAGAAGACTGTGAACTCAGCATGAGCCATGGGCGGCAGCGACTGCTAAAGAGGGCAGGGCAAGTGCTGGTGGGGCAAGTGGGGGCCGTGGGACCCCAGAACCCCGGGCAGGGCTGCAGATCTGGAGACGATCATCGACCCAGAGAAGGGCCGCGGGCACACGGACACCTTAACAACAGGGCTATCTCCCTCCGTGGTGGTTGTGAAAGCCAAACCTGATGGCATCTTCGGTGTCAGGGGAGCCCTAGGAGCCAACAGCAGACAGCAACTAGTTGGCTGGAAATGCGGTGAGGGTTTCCAACTTAATTGTGAACAGTTGTTGGAAAATGTGCAGTTGACTAGGAGGACTGAAGGTCACGACAATGTCAGCCCCTCCGAACTACCCAGTTCAGTCCCCACCCCAGAGATGGCGTGGCTCCCCAGCCCAAGGGTCACTCCCCGGGCACCACCCATGCTGTGCCCCTCTGCTAGGGCTGGCGCCTCCACCCCCGTTTCTCCTAAACCCCCGCAAGGCCCACTTGCCCCACCCTGTGCGGTGGCGTTTGGAGTGTAAAGCAGACGCCTAGGTGGGCTGACCCCTGCTTGGCCACAGCCGATAGCTGCCCGCCATCAATAGCACAGTGTCCCGGCACACAAAGAGCCTTACTCAAGCTCCACGGAATGGATGTGAAAATCACCGAGGTGGATTTCCAACCTCAGAATTACTCAGCAGCCCTCTCTTGCGTCACTGGTTCCCTTCTGGATTCCATGAGGGAGCCCTTCCTAACCTTGCCCTTGATGCTCATGCCCCTTCTTCCCCTCCAGCACCCCCTTCTCCTATCTCCAGGCCCAGTGACCTGGCCTCTTCCTCCACAGAGCCAATAAACGTCATTGGGCATGAAATAAGACCCCGCTTTCCCCTCACCCCTACTTCTGTATCTTTGCCCCCCTCACCTCCTCCCCAGGGTCCTCGGGGCAGGAGTTAGGGGTGGGGGAAATGCCCACCCCTTGCCCCTTTCTGTGCTGTCGATCCGGGCCTCAGCGGTTCATCAGCCTCCTCTGTTTGTGACACACAGGCTTCTTCTCCCCTTCTGCCTCCAAACATGGCCCAGCCTCTCCCTCCTAAAAAAGACTCCTTCAATCCTGCCTCCTTTCACCCACAGCCATTTATTTTGTTCTATTTATTTACTTCTTGAAAAATGTAATCCATTCCCATGACTCAGAATTGATGTACAAGTGCCCTCCCTCCCATCCTCGCCCTCTGCCCCATTCCTGGTCCCTTCACTGTTGGCAATTTCCTCGTTATCCTTCCAGGAGAGTTAACAACTTGTACAAGAGGATGTCTTCACATATTCCTCCTCTTTTAAAAATATGAGACATAATTCACATACTGTGAATATCACTCTTTAAAGTTACATAATTAAATGGTTTTTTTTAAAAAAAAAAACATGTTCGCAGGTCGTACAACCATCACTGTATCTAACTCGAGAATATTCTGATACCCCAGAAAGAAAGGCCATACGCATCAGCAGCCACACTCCACTCTCTTCTCTCAGGCCCTGACAGCCACCAATCTCCTTTCCACCTCTATGGATTTATCTGTGCTGGACGTGTCACATAAATGGAATCATACAATATGTGGCCTTTTGTCTCTGGCTTTTTTCACTTTAGCATAATGTTTTCAAGGTTCATCCATGTTGTACTGTGTATCAATACTTTACTCCTTTTTATGGCTGAATAATATACAATTGTATGTATACACCACCTTTTGTTTATCCATTCATTAGGTGGTAGACATTTGCTTTGTTTCCACTTCTTGGTTATTATGGATAATGCTACTCTGAACATTTGTGTATATTTTTGTTTGAACACCTGTTTTCAGTTCTTTTGGGTATATACCTAGGGATGGAATTGCTGGGTCACGTGGTAATTCCACATGTCATTTCTTTTTTTTTTTTTTTTTTCCACATGTCATTTCTTAAGGAACAGTCATACTGTTTTCCACAGGAACTGCACCATTTTACATGCCACCAGCCACGTATGAGGGTTCTGATTTCTCCACGTCTTCGCCAACACTTGTTATTTTGGGGTTGTAGCAGTAGTAGTAGTAGTAGTAGTAGTCGTCATACTAGTAGTGGTTTTATAGCTATTCTAGTGGGTGTGAACTGGTATCTCATTGTGGTTTTGATTTGTATTTCCCTGAGAACAGCTGAAGTCAAGCATCTTTTCATGTGCTTACTAGCCACTTGTATATCTTCTTTGGAGAAATGTCTATTTAGATCCTTTGACCATTTTTTAATTAGATCATTCGTTCTTTCATTGTTGAATTGAAAGACTTCTTTATATATTCTGGAACTAGTCCCAGGGAGCACCTTCCTTCTGGAAAGAAGTCTTCCCATGGACCTCTGAAATCACTTGCCACTTTGGAGCAGTCCTTTATTAAAGCACCTTCTCATGTAGCTTTCACAAAGCACTCTCCTTGTTCTGTCTTCTTCACTGACCTTCCTCCTCTTCTCTCCCCACTGCGCTCCCCCCACCTAGCCCCCCTCCTCTGCCAGTCCCGCAAATGTTGGGATTCTGTCCTTGATCATCTCCTCTCCCACATGAATGAGTTCCTCTCGGGTGAACGCATCCACTCCCAAGGCGCTCAGCCTCCACCTTTACCTCCGAGCCTCCTGAACCTCTTCCTCCAGCCCTGTCCTCTCTGGACCTTCTGTGCTGTATCCCCAGGGCCTTGAGACGTCCCCTCCCTGGTCTCTTCTGGGTAACCCGGGCGTCCTCTCACGTTTCTGAGTTTAGTTAATGATCACACCCAAGCCAGAAACAAACCAAAGGGGTCACCGTATTTGACTCTCCTCTCCTGTCCTCACTTCCCAAATCTCATCCATTGTTACATCCTGTGGTTTCTGCCCCCTCAGTATTCAAAAGGCACACCTAGAGCAGCATGGGACAGGCTCCTGCCTTTAGCCCTGACTCTGTGCATTGGGGAGCAAGGTGGGGATACAGCAACCCAGCCCACAGCATCGGAAGCACAAACGCCAAATGACTGGTGCAGACTGCAGGCTCAGAGGAGGGGGAGGGAGGGCGGACACACACTGAGCTGTGAAGGACAGAGGTCAGCAGCGGAGGCGGGGGAGGGGGGACCACACCCACTGCACTGTGGAGACACCCGAGTGTGGGGTTTAGGAGCGGGTGGGAGGGAGGGCTTAGGAGGGGAGAGGGAGGCTGGCTGCTGTGGCTGGGAGACTGGCTGTGGTCAGAGACAACTAGGCTGGAATTGGTCCACATTATGCCTCTGTGACTCTGGATACGGCACTTAACCCTGAGGCTTCAGCTTCCTTATCCAACACCTGCGTTGTGGTCAGGATCGCCTCCAATCACGCTTGTGAAAATCCTTCGTAAGTGGTAAGGTGCTGGACGGGCAAAGGCAGCCCAAGGCCAGAAAGGGAAGCGGGTTGCACATTGTGAAGGTCACAAGTACCAAGTGCAAGGGCTCAGGTTTTACTGTTCAGGTGTGGTGAGGATATTAGGTGGGACTCTCAACTCCAGCTGACAGAAACCCAACTTACTCGGGCCCAAACCGAAAGAGAATGGATTGGTCATTGTCATGGGTGGCCCGGGGTGGCTCTGTCTGCAGCACAGCTGGGTCCTGCCGACCCAGGATGATGTCTGTGTCTCCGTTGGTGTCTCTCCGGGTTTTCGTCTTTCTCGCCCCCTCACCCACCGCCTCTCTCACCTCTGCTTTCCTCTAGGCATTGGGGAACCCCTAGCAGCCTCAAGCTCACTCCTCTCAGGCACCAAGACCCAGAGCCTCACTGCCCGCCTTCACAGGGAAGCCTTGATTTCCGTAGGGTGGGTCACTGCTCATCCCAGAACCAATCAGGCAGGTGGGTGGTGTTCTTTGATTGGCCAACAGGACCAGTGCCCTCCTCTGGCATTGGGGTGGGAGCCAAGTGATGAGGTGGGATTGGGAAGGAAGATTCCCAGGGGCCAGGCTGTGGGCTGACATAACCTCTCCCACTACGGGGAGTCCTGGAGCTTCTGAATAGTGATTAATCCTCCTGTGAGGGGGTGGGAAGCAGTGCCTTGGCGGAGGCATGAGTAGGGCAGATCTGGGCAGTGGCCAGGAGTGCCTGTCTCATAGAGAAAGGCCCGGGCACCCTGCAGTTCCCAAGCCGTCCTTACCTCTCCTCAGACTTTTTCCTCAGCCTCACACAAGTCCTGAGAAGTAGGGAAGGATGACTTGGCTGTGCCCATTTAACAGGTCAGGTTGAATGGCTTTCACAACCATTAATTAAGAACTATTAATGGGAGTAATGGTCCTGGGTTAGCAAACCATTAGGCTGCCCATCCTCCAGCGAGAGATTTGTATGGGGAACACTCAGCAGCCACGTCTGGGGCCGGCGTCAGGCATGGACCCTCTCTTCGCCCCACCGACACCTTTGGGGATGGGAGAGGTTCGCACTGGGTGAGGGGCTGCAGGAGGCTTGCAGACTCTGCTTGGGCCTAACAGGGGTCTCGAGGAAGGACCAGGTACGGCCCGTCGGAGTCCAGCGCAGGGATGATGCAGGCGGGCTTCACGGAGGAGGCTGCCTGGAGCCCAGTGAGCACCCACGATGCGCTGGGGGCTGGGCTGAGGACGCGCAGCGGCCCGGGGCAGAGGGGCGGCCCCAGCGAGGGGAGGCAGGCAGTGGTGTTGACCGAAGCGCGCGGATGGGAAACTCCGGGCCCCATCTGGGCGCTCCGGGCGCTCAGGTGAAGCTCGGCCAGGAACCGCGCCCCGCAGCCCGGCCCGGCCCAGCCTCCGGCGCTCTCCCCGCGGCCCCGGCGTCCCCGCCGCCCGGCGATTTCGGTGCGTCAGCAGAGCGGAAACGGGGAGCGGCGCCAGCCCGCGAGCGGCGGGGACGCGGCCTGGCAGCGGCCGACGGCTCCGCAGGTTCTGTTCCGCCCGCGTTTGTGTTGGCAGCTGCCCGCGGCGCGCGGCCCGGCCGATGAAAGGGCCCTCTGTCTGCGCCTGAGCGGCCTCGCTCGCCTTTCATTCTTAATATAATCTTCACTTCATTTTTAACCGAGCAGAGGTTCTCTTGGAATTCTTCCCCTTCTTCCAAAAATACATGTGCGTGTGTGTGTTTGCAAAAGTTCCTTCACGGTGAAGGTCGGGATTGTCCCGGGGAAGGGAAGTGCGAAACCCGAGGCGGATTCAGAGCGAGACAGAAATGCCTTTCTTCCAGTGCAGGGGCCTCCCTGGGGGTCGCCGCTTCCGCTGGGGTGTCCCCCATCCCGGCCCCGGGGTCTGGGGCAAGAGGACGGGGATCCTTCACCACCGCCCACAGCCCACCCCCGACCCCTAGGATGAATGGGCTGTTTGGAAGCCGAGATCAGTGGGGAGGGGGTGGGGTGCCTTCTCAAGGGGTCCCTGCGCAGGGCTGGTTGGAAAGCACTGTGGTCAGGTGTGGCCAGCACGGGCTGTCCTCCCAGAAATGGATGCAAAGGAGAAACAGGACCGCTGGGACCGGGGTTCTGCCTGGGGAGACTTTACTCTGTACTCCTGTCTGTGAGGAAGCTCAGAACAGCCTGCAACACTGCCTGGAAACCTGCCTCCAGCCAGCCCTCCATTCACCTGGCTGGGCAGAGGGGTGTTACGCCTGAGGCAACGTTCTAGATTATACCAAAGACTGCCATTTGGAGAGACTCCCACCTCAAGCATCGCAGGGCCAGGGCTTTCCATGCATGTTCCCAGGTTCTGGGAGTTAGGTGTGGTCATCCATACAGAAGAGAAACAAAAGGCTCAGAGAAGCTAAGTAACTTACCCCAAGTCCCAGAACGTGAAGGGTGTGAGGGCCAGAATTGTGGAAGCAGGTGGCAAGAAGCCTGGGTTTGCCCTTCTGTTTCAGTGGTTTTCAAACTGTGTTCTGCAGATCTTCTACCTGCTTTGACAGCCAGGAAATTTTGATTCCAGTTCTTAAAAAAAAAATAATTTGTGTTTGTATTTGGACTTGTGTTTTGAGCAATAGAGTAGATTATATAACCTGAAAACTATCCTGCTGTAAACACCTAGGAAAGTTCAGCTAAAACTAAGACAAAAAACTACCACCAACAGTTTCCTTTCAAATCCAAGAAATTAAGAACCAAAAGGAAATCTCCAAGAGCTAGAAATGAAGAGGGTAACAAAGGTAAACTGACCACAGCTGCCCTACTAGGGGGATGAGGGAACCTTGAGGGCACAGGCAGAAAATGGGGGCAGGTTGTCATCCAGAGAAGGTGATGCCTTGGACCTACGCAAAGTGGGGTTTGAAACAGAGACTCCAACTAAAGCTGGGACTGTCTGGGCCTATACCTTCAGTGAAATAATGTGCAAAAATGAAAGGAAAAAAAAAACACAAGACCTTTAGGCACAAAAGGACAAGAAGGAAATTTGTCTGTCTCAGCGTGGCTGGTAGAATTTTTTAAATGCCTCCTGAGAGTTTGTGAACCAAGAGCCAGTGCTCACACAGGTCTTAGATTCAACGTGACTCCACCTGTTAACCTATAACTGAGAGATTAACATAAATATTGGTCCCAGGCTTAGTAATATCTGTGGGTTACTTAACAGAAACAAATACAAAACTTGCTCTAAAAGAACAGGTCCTCAACTGAGGTCACACAGCACTCCCACAGATAAAGCCCTGATGAAGATGAGTTGATAGTGCGCAGAAGAAAACTCAACCCCAGTCAAAAGTCTGGAGATACAAACACAGCAAGATTAAGCACCCAAAACCAATCTGATAGACTATAAATATGTTTTTATTTTTATTTATTTATTTATTTGGCTGTGCCACAGAGCATGCGGGATCTTAGTTCCCCCACCAGGGATCGAACCCGTGCCCCCTGGAGTGGAAGCATGGAGTCTTAACCACTGGACCACCAGGGAAGTCCAAAATAAGTATGTTTAAAATGATAAAGAAAGTAGTAAAAAAAAACATGAGAGAAAAATGACACAAATACAGAGGTACAGTATCACTTTCTTAATTTTATAAAATTCCATTTTCCTCCATGTGATTTTGCAGCTGCAGCTCCTATCATCAAGAAGCGGAGTCTTTTCCTCCACCCTGTTAATCTAGGCTGCGTTTGCAACTTCATTTGACCAATAAAATGTGGTGGAAGTGATGCTGGTTCTGAGCTTTGGCCTCAAGAGGCCTTGGGCACTTCCGTTCATTCTCTTAAAACCCTTAATGAATAAACCCAGAGTAGCCTGCTGGAAGATGAGGGACAGTGTGGAGCAAAGAAGTGCCATCCCAACTGAGGCCATCCCAGACCAGCCAGTCCTTAACTGACCACATATGCATGAGTGAGCTCAGCCAAGACCATAAGAACCACCCAACTGAGCCTAGCCTAAATTGGTGATGCACAGAATCATGAGCTGAATAAATGGTTGTTATTTTAAGCTAGTGCATTTGGGGATGATTTGTTATACAACAAAAGCTTACTGATCCAGAGAGCGTAAGAGACATGAATAGAATGAGAAAGTCTGACACACATCTAACAGGAGTTCCATGGGGAAGAGAATAGGCAGATGGTGGAGACAACATATTCGAAGAGATAGTGTCTACAAAATGCCAGTTTTTGTGAAAAATATAAATCCTCAGTTTCAGAAAGCACTGGTTCCAGTAAGACGAATAAATTCAGAACTATATACATCCCTGTGAAACTGCCAAACACCATAAAGAAGATCTTAAAGGCAACCAGAGAGAAAAGACAGATACCTTCAAAGGAATGACAATGACACTGCCAGGAGATTGCTAATGGCAACATTAGAAGCCTGAAGACTGTGTTAAAGAGCATCTTCATGGACTTCCCTGGTGGTGCAGTGGTTAAGAATCCACCTGCTGATGAAGGGGAGACGGGTTTGAGCCCTGGTCCGGGAAGATCCCACATGCCATGGAGCAACTAAGCTGTGTGCCACAACTACTGAGCCTGTGCTCTAGAGCCAGCGTGCCACAACTACTGAAGCCCGCGCTCCTAGAGCCCGTGCTCCACAACAAGAGAAGCCACCACAATGAGAAGCCCGCACACCGCAACGAGGAGTAGCCCCCGCTCACCGCAACTAGAGAAAGCCCGCACGCAGCAACGAACACCCAACGCAGCCAAAACTGAATAATTAATTAATTTAAAAAAAGAGTATCTTCAAGTTGCTAAGAGAAAATAAGAGTGTATCTAGAAATTCTTTAGCTAAATTATTATTGAAGAGCAAGGATAAAAATAAGGTTATTTTTTGAAAAGATTGAGAGATTTTACTACTAACAGACTTTTTATGGACTGACTATATATCTATATAAAACTATGTGTCCTATATATCCTTTGTATTGTACACATATCTCCTATATATGGTATATATTATAACCCAGGAAGAAGTGGTGTTAAGAAAGCAGCAACGATAAACAAAAATACAAATAAAAGTGAGCGAATGTGAGTAAATCTAATGATAACAACAGTAACCAATTTGGGGGCATAAAAAGATGTAATTAAAGTATTGGGCACCAATGGTGACTAAGTTCCTTGTATTAGTTAAAAGGGTAGACATATGCTGCAGACATTGTTAGTTCAAGTATACAAATTAAAAATTTAAGGGTAACCTACAAAGGGAATGAAATAGGATGTATGACTTCCAAAGTAATATGTGGAGCAGGGAGTGGGAAGAAAAGAATACAGAAAATGTAACCAAGCTAATGGAAAACAATAAAGGAGAAAAAGAAATAAAGGAAAAGGAAGATAAATAACACAGTCCAAAATATATAACTGATCACAAAAAATAATAAATAATAAATGGACAAAATGTATAAATTAAAGGAGCATGTCAAATGAAATAATTAAACAAAAGCAAAAAACATAAATATCAGAATACAGGAATACTGGAAGTAATGGAATAGGAAATATTTATTAGGCAAATTTTAATCCAAAGAGTGGTATATCCATATTAATATTAATAAAACACTTTCTGTTTCCAGATAAGACGGCCTATAATATGGAGCAGCATTCTCCACCCCAGCTCCCCCATAAAATAAAGCAGCAAAATGTGAACAGACCATATTTGAAGAAATACTGGCTGGACACTTTCCAAACTTGGCAAAAGACATAAGCCTACAAATTCAATAAGCTCAGTAAGCTACAAATAGGATAAACCCAAAGAGATTCACAACCAGACACATTCTGATTAAACTGCTGAAAACAAAAGACAGGGAAGAAATTATGAAAGAAGCCAGAAAAAAACATTCATTTTTAAAGGATAACAATTCAAATGACTGTGGATTTCTCATTAGAAACCATGGGGGCCAGAAGGATGTAGAACGACATTTTTAAAGTGTGGAAAGAAAAGAACTGTCAACCCATATTCTGTATCCAGTGAGAATATCCTTCAGGAATTAGGGTGAAATGAAGACATTTTCAGATGAAGGAAAACTAAAAGAATTCATTCCCAGCATACCTACTCAAAAAGAAATACTAAAGGAAGTTTTTCAGACAGAAGGGAAATAGTGCCAGAAGGAAATTGAAATATCAAGATTGGGAAAAGCGACAGAAATGGTAAACATCTGGGCAAATGCAACAAACTATTCTTAAGTTTTTACAACTATGATGGTTGAAAGCAAAAATTATGACATTATTTGGTGGGATTTCCAATGTATGTCAATGTGATATATGACAACCATTATGTAAATGGGGAGGTTAAAAGGACATATACTGTGGAAAGTTTTCTACATTCCACTTGAAGTGGTAAAATATTGATGCTAAGTAGACTTGAAAAGTTAAGTATGTATATTGTGCTCCCTAGAGCACACTTGAAAACGATACAAAAATATAATAGTCAAAAACACAATAGATAAATTAAAATGAAATACTAAAAAACATTAAAGTAACCTAAAAGAAGGCAGGAAAGGGGAAATAGAGAAACAAGAAAAAAACAAAATTAATAAAATAGTAGATCTAAATCCAAACAGATCAGTAATGACATTAAAAACAAAACAAGACTGGGACTTCCCTGGTGGTCCAGTGGCTAAGACTCCACGCTCCCAATGCAGGGGACCCGGGTTTGATCCCTGGTCAGGGAACTAGATCCCATGTGCTGCAACTAAGAGTTTGCATGCCACAGCTAAGGATCCCGCATACCGCAACTAAAGACCTTGCATGCCGCAACTAAAAGATCCCACACGTGGCAACGAAGATCCCGCATGCTTCAACTAAGACCCAGCACAGCCAAATAAGTAAATATTTTTAAAAATAATAATAAAAATATAAAAGAAATAGTTTATAAGTTAAAAAAAAAAGACCTAACTATAATGCCGTCTACAAGAAACTTACTTCAAATATAATGATATAAATAGGTGAAAAGTAGAAGAATGGAAAAAGATTTACCATGAAGAAAACATTCAAAAGAAAGCTGGAGTGGCTATATTAATTATTATTATATAGCCAGACAAAGTATTTAGAGCAAAGGATTACAAGGGTCAATTTACCAAGAAGACATGGCAATCCAAAAAGTGTATGCACCCAAAAATAGAGCTTCAAAATACATGGAGCAAAGGCTGTCAGAAATGAAAGGAGAAATAAACAAATTCACAATTATCATTAGCAGTTTTCTCTCAGAAAGTAACAGTACTGGTAGACAGAAAATCAGAAAGGCTATTGAAGAAGTGAACAATACCATCAACCAACTGGATCTAATTGACATTTATAAAACACTCTACCAAATAATGGTAGAATACACATTCTTTTCAGGTGCCTGTGGAATATTCACCAGGATAGACTATACCCAGGGTGGTAAAACTAACCTTTACAAATATAAAAGAAATGAAACCATACAAAATATAATCATAGTGGACTTAAACTAGATGTCAATTACAAAACGATAACAGGAAATTATTCAAACACTTGGAAATAAAACAGCATACTTCTGAATAATCCATGGGTTTGAAGTCCTCAATTTGTTC